TGTGTGTATTCTCAGGCACACATACTTCTTTAAGCAATGAGCACTTTTGTAAAATCAGAAGAAAAATGAGAGTTCAAGTTCTGGGAAACAAATGGAAGTTTCCTCATTTGCAATTCTTTCTCTCTGAACTGGAGTAAGTGAAAATAATTACGACTCCTTTCCTCCCATAAAAATAACAACGAGCTGCTTCTTCATGAATAATAAAGGTTCAATTTTACACATTTCACAGAATACTTCCATGAGATTATTCTAAAGGCAGGGTCTGTTTATCAATAATGTCTGTATCCACAGCACTTAGCACAATGTCTGGCACAGAACAGATAAAAAGGGCTTGGACACGTGGGTCTGTATCAGATCAAGAGCTCTTGGGGCAATTTTACCAGCTCTCCTTGGGGGCGGGGGGGGGGGGGGGGGGGGGCGCATATACAGGGATGCTGCACAAGTACAAAGACTTGGGGGGAATGATGGGGTCTCTCTATATTTTGCTTTGAGTACATCTCCTCTTGGCTGCCACCTCTTTTCCTGTTGCTCTTAACAATCTTACTTCACGTGTCAGAATTTTGTAGGCTTGACCTCTTCCTCCTCCTTTATACACTTCCTTCACCCAGCTTCTGGGCCCTACGTTCTCGGTTAAGAGCACTGGGGACACATAATACCTCACTGGTAGCTTCCCACACTCCTTTGTGTGTCCTCCTCTTCTCCCCAAACTCTTAAAGTTGGGGTGCCCTGGGTTCTTTTCTTATCACCTTTTCACACTACACTCATTCCCAAAGTGACCTAATTCAGTCTCCGGCTTTAAATATCTCTAGGCTAAAGACTCCCAGATCTTAATCTCGAGCCTGGAGCTCTTTCCCAAGCTCTAGATTCCCATACCCAACCCTACTCTCCATCTCCATTTGGATGTCCAGCAGACACTCGCTTCTAAATTAGCATATTCAAAACTGAACCCTTGATCAGCCCCCAAACCTATTCCATCCACCACCTCCTCCATCTCAGAGTCATCTTTGACTGTTTTCTCCCACATACCACATCTAAACCATCACCAAATCCTCTTGGCTCTATTTGCAGAAGCTCCCAGACTTCAAACACTTCTTACCACCTTTGCTATACAAGTCTGGTCCAAGCCACTGTCACCTGTCGCCTAGATTACTGCAACAGTCGATTAGAGGGTCTCTCTGCTTCTACTGTTGCTCCTTTACAATCCATTATCAACACTTGCAAGCACAGTACTCCTTTAAAGCATAACTCAGATGGTATCACTCCTCTGCTCAAAACCCTCTGGTGCTTACATATTTCCATCGGAGTAGAAGTTGCTACAATGGCTGACACAGCCCTGCATGACCTGGCCCTGTGTTACCTTTCTGACTTCATTCCACTACCCTCCCCTCCCTCACTCTATCCTATCCAGACTGCCTCCCTGCAGTTCTTGGGGCAAACCAGACAGGTCTCCTTTAGGGCATTAGCCTGGAACACTTCTCCCCCAAAATCCATGTGGCTAACTCCCTCGTCTCTTTCTGTCTTTACTTAAATGTCACCTTGGAAAATTGCAACCCATCTTTATCTCTCACCAGTACTCCTCAACTCTGTACCCTGTTCTTTTTCTGTTTTCCTAACACTTATCACCTCCTAACATATCACATATTTTAATTATTTTTTTAGGGGGATTATTGGTTTGTTTGTCTTCTCCCTTGAGAATGTAAACTGCCTTAAGGCCAGGTTCTTTGATTTTCCTGTTATTTCCCAAGTACCCTGAACAGTTTCTAGGTGACCAGTGAGTGTTTGCTCAACAAATGAATAGATCTTAGGAGGCACAAAAGGAACTAAATAATATATAGTGCATCCCCTACCTTCACTCCTGTAACTACTCATGGGAAGGAGGGACTAAGAGGTAGAAATCATCCAGGCAAGAGCAATAGGGGATGGCAGTTTAAAGGTCTTTCTGTTTCTGTGATCAGCTTTCTGGGCCACATCTCAGTCTATCTTTAGCAATCACCATACATTGTTACTGTTAATGAGTTGTTGGCATTCAGAATTTAACTAATGTTCATATACATTCCAGGACTATAATACACTGCATCTGCAGAATAAGTCCAAATCTAAAAACCTACTGTACTTAACCTCTAATCTACCAAGATCACCAAAGTCAGGGTCCTCTGAGGTAGGGATATTCTAGTAGAAAATGGTACTAAAAGATGAAAAAGTTATAAAGATGCTCTCTTGGGAATGAGGTGATAACCACAACCTAACAACATGAGGTCATCTACCAGATGATTAACATTGAGGAATGCAGGTCAGCTGCCGAGTAAAAAATACACAAGCCACCCAAACTGTCTAAAGGCAACAACACATGACACTACTCACTTCCTGAACTGAGCCTTGGAACTGCTTTATGGCTCTGTAAATAGTTATATTTACAAATTATATTACAGATAATAAAGATTTCATTAATGTAGAACTTTATAATTATGGCCCAAGTACAGCCAGCACTAAAAATGAATCTATTTACTCTAAGAGAATAATTTTTTTCAATGACAAATATGAGGGCCTTACTGGTGTTATGGACTTTTTCCATTTGTTTTTTTCACACTACTCAGAGGAAATTTACTAAATTCTTCTAAGTGACAAAGCTTGGAAATATTCTTCAATACCAGCATCTATTCCTTCATTTAACAAACATGACCAAGTGCACAGAGAGCTGTGAAGGATACTAGGAACAAGACAAGGCCTTCCCTCATTGAGAAGGGAGAAGAGTTGTTGACAAAATAACTACGAGTGAGGCGAGTGACAAAAGGGATGCAGTGTGCCACTGCAGGAGGGAGTAACGTGAGGGTGATGAGGGAAAGCTCTAAGGAAGCACTGTTTCACTAGAGATCTCATGACTGAGCAGCAGCTAGCTAGGGTAAGGGGGGCAGGAAGAGGTGTCAGGGCAGAGGAAACAGCATGTGCAAAGGTCCTGAAGCAGAAGAAGATAGACAGATAGATAGAGTTGAGAACCAAAAGAGATAACAGTGGTAAACCTGAGGCTGCAGAGAAAGATAGAAGCCAGATCATTTAGGGCCCTGAGACCATGGAAGGACTCCAGACTCTAGCCTCTGGGCAATGGGGAACATTTGAAAGGTTTTAAGGAGAAGAGGTATCAGTTTTGGTTTTGTTTTTAAAACTATCAATTGGCTTTAGTTTAGAGAATGGGCAGCAAGAATGAACTTGGAAAGGCCCCTTTAGCAGAAATCCAAGAATTCTTCCTTGGAGGATAGTAGTGGTGGGATGGAGAGAAATGAGCAGAATTAAGAGAATATTTAGGAACAACAACTGGCAAGACTTAGTGACTGATGAGACTTGGAGAGTGAGAAAAGGTATGTGGCCCAGATTTCTGGTTTGACCAAATACCTCTAGAATGAAGGGCTCTTCAAATAAATTAACATGGGTTTGTATAGGAAAATTGCCTAATATATGTCAATAAAATAAGCAATTGGTTTTTCATGATGGATTAAAAGCTTAAGGTTTTTAGTTTATTTTAGAAACTCTCTTGCAAACAAAATAACTTCACAGAGCATCCTCTTAAGTTTTTAAGTACTTATAACATTCTATCTATAGACAGAGACATATAGATATATGAATTTATTAAGCTACTGGATTGCGATATTTGGCTTTAACTTGAGTTGTCAAACTGCATGACTTTGAACTTATCACTTGTCACTTCATCATTCATTTAAAAGGAAAAAAAAAAACCCTACAGATTAAGATTTAAGATTCTGTTCTCTACGTGACTGATGTTTACATGTTATGCACAACCACATTCTAGGTTCAGGGACCTTATGCATGGTTGACCAAGGGCTTTTTTCTTCCTCCTCTGTCTAGCTAGTTCTTTACCAGCCCAATACAATGCAAAATTATTTCTCTTAAATATGCTTCGTAAATTAGATAGCAAGATGGCTTTCGCCCCAAAGAGTAACTCCTCACAGGCCTGGGTATACTGATGTGCACAACTCCATTACAGCCTTTTTTTAATGTATCATAATGAAAGACAGTCACATAAAGCATTTATGGATTATTAGATACCGTACCAGTGAACACCTGTCTCTTGTCAAAATTTTGTTCCCATGAGAAAATCAGATTTTGATACCTTTTTTAAGTTATGCCTGCTCTGCACATCACCCCCTTGTAGAAAAGGAAATTCCCAGTAATTGTAATGCCATCATCATTATTTCCTTAATGTAAATTCAGTTCTAGGTAAGCCAGAATAATCTAGGTCCAGCCATCCAGGGCCAGCATTTAATCTGTTCACTGTAAAATAAATGTCATTTCAGAAAATATACAGGAGTAAAATTAAAACCCAAGCTGCATCGAATACAAAACACACCAACAGAAGAAACCCAGAAAATTCAAATCTATCTCTACTGTGTGAGCCCTGCCCTGGTTTCATTTCTGGACATTCATTCCCCATCATAAATGACCAGGATAATGAGAAATAAACAGCAGCAGCAGCACCATCACCTTGAATTTCAAAAGTGAAGAGGTCCATCACTATAATCTACTTTCTATCTGTCGCTATCCATAAAGTTCTACCAGAGAGTACATGCTACGCGTGGAGGAGCGGTCCCTTCCCTCTTTGTGCATGAGAGGACTGAAAATGTTCCTAGGTTTAAAGGAGAAAAGAGACAGAGTCAAAAGATGAGGCTGGAAACTGAAAAGCTACTACATGGCAGGAATCCAGACCTAGGTGAGAAAAAGTCAAGGAAGCAGAAAAGAGCCCATAGAGGTCAGAGGAGGAAAAGGAAAATACGGGCTCCTGACAAAACCCGGCAGGGGAACGTGGAAATGGAATAACTGAACAGGGCCAGTGTCAGTGGGTAAAGGATCAAATACTGGGAGGTGCGGGGAGTGACTGCGGAGGGCTCAGGGGATGGGTAGCCCTGAATAGAGAGGCCCAAGAGAGGAAAAAGGAGACAGGCAGGGAGCATCCGCCAGGGTGTTGGAAGGCTAGCGGGGGCGATCCTCACCTTGATTTTTGTCCGGCTGGCCTTGGCCTTGGCCCGGCGCTGGGGCCTTACCGCCTCGGCCATAGACCCTGCGGCGGCGCCGTCGCCGTTTGTTTTTATCAAAACCCTGCGCGTCCCACAACCAGCCCAGTTCCGGCCTCTGGACTTATCACGTGATCAGACATCCACCACTCCCGGAGAAGGGGCAGCACCTCAGGGACGCTACGGGCCGCAACGTAGGACAAACCATTCCAGGAGGCATTTTCACTGAAAGATGGTAGATCCGCCCCCTTCCGTCCAGGCTCCACCCCTGGCCCGGCGTGCGGGGCCTCCAGGTCCAACCCGCCCGCGGCTTCCAAAGGGTTGTGTAGCTCCATGGGCCCTGGCCGGTTGACAAGTCGCGTCTGTCTCCCTGGCCCACACCCATTTTGGCCGCGCACACCTCAGGCACAATGGCTTTAAGGAGTCCGGGGAGGGATGTTTGTCAATCTTGTTTTGACCTGTGTTTAAGTCAGTTAGCCTCTGTCTTTGCTTGGCACTCTTGATGTTCCTTAAATGCACCTGCGTTTCCTCTTTTGTAAAGGAGAATGATGATGTTTGATGAAGGTTAAATGGGCTAATCGTGAAAGGTACCTGGTAGAGCGACAGACATGTTAGTAAATGGTATTACTAAACAAATTGCCAGGCAGGAAATGGACACCTGATCCAAAAAGGGCAAAGAAGAAATAAGACCCATAAAAGTATTATTAGTATAGAATGTATGTACCTTGTGTGTACCTTGCTTCATTTTTAAATTCCAGATGTTAAAAGCTTGGCCCCATCTCCCTTCCCCAGCTGTTCCATTTCTTTTTCCAAAGCATTTAGTGCCTCTTAAACTACTATAAAATTTGCTTTCATGTTTATGCCTGTCAGCTCCTCTAGAATGTAAGATCCTAAAGGGCAGAGTTCTTTGTTTTGTTCCCTGTTGTATCCCAAGGGCCTCTACCACACTGGTCAGCATATAGTAGACGCTCAATAAATATCTGATGAATGGAACAAATGAATGTGAGTTGTTTTGTCTGGTGGTGGGGTAAGACAGTTGAGATGGCTTGTACGGGAGGAAAATAAGTCTATTCATCCACTGGTAGCATATCCTAGAATGAAAAATCCTGAAATATGATGTGAGAAATGAAAAGCACTCCAAAGATGGCCACTGCACAGTGACTTGTTTGTGAGCTATTTGATCATATAAAGTTCAGTTTCATATCTTTTGATCTCAAATCCTCAACAATAACAAAAAAAGTTATCAAGCTACTCGGAATGCCCCTGCACTTTGTATACCCTGGTGTGTGTGTGTGTGTGTGTGTGTGTGTGTGTGTGTG